GTGAAACTCTCACCTCTGTCTTTCCCCTAAATGTCTCATCACCCCAAACAAACTTTGTGCCCATAAAGCATAGCCCCCTATTCCCTCCTCCCCAGTGCTGGTTAACGGTGAATCTCTACGTCTTTGCCTAGTCTGGACGTCCCATAGACGTGGGGTCATTTATGATTTGTTCTTTTGTGTCTGCCTTCTTTTACTCTGCATGTTTTCAAAGTTTATCTGCATTGTAGCATGCATCAGAACTTCACTTCTCTTTATAGATAAACAACATTCCGTTGCATGTATAAATCACAGTTTGTTTACCCATTTCTCTGTTGATGGGTACTTGCGTCGTTTCTACTTTTTTACTATAGTGGATGATGCGGAACATCGGTACACCTGTATTTGTTGGAGTCCCCATTTTCCATTCTTTGGGGTACATATCTAGGAGTAGAATTGTGTAATGCTACAAGTAAGGAACTCTGGTAGGGTAGTGGTTATGAGTTGGGCTGCTAACCTCAAGGTCAGCAGTTTGAACCTATCAGTCATTCCACAGGAGAAATATGAGGCTTTCTGCTTCCATAAAGATTTACAGTCTCGGAAACCCTATGCAGGGTCGCTATGAGTCAGAACCAACTCCACAGCACATAACCACCACTACCACCCACCATAAAATAAGCACTGGACTGCAAGGTTGGTTTGAACCACAAGGTTGGCAGTTCAAACTCACCAACCTCTCCTTGGAAACCATATACAGGGCAGCTACGAGTCAGAACCGACTCCACTTGCCACTTACCAACAACACCGTGGTAAATTCCATGTTTAACTTTTCAAGAACTGTCAAACTCTTCTCCACAGCAATGCTACCATTTTCCATTCCCACCAGCCACGCCCAAGGGTTCCAATCTCTCTACACCCTCACAAACACTTATTTTCGTTTTGGTTTATTTTATAATAGCCATACCTGTGAGTGTAAGGTGGTATCTATCTCTTTATATCAGACTCCTCAGTCTGAGTCTCTAGAAGATTTGTTAGCGCTCCCAGGCCTGCTCCCTCTGTCTCACATACACTGCACATAGGAGGGTCATTGGAAACCAGAAAGCCAGACCTGGATTCAAATCCCACTGTTCCACCTACTGTCTATGGCCTCAGTGGTCACAACTGTAAAATGGGGATTCAGAAAAGAACCTCCCTCAGAGGGTCCCTTCAGGGGAGACTAGGGAGCAGTGAGAGGACATGTAAGTGAAGAATACACACAGGAAAAATGAGGGACTGTGTAGGACCAAGACCCCAACCCTGGAGGTGAGGGGTTGAAGGACTTCCAGTGCTGACAGGGGAATGAACAGCTTCTGTGGGCCAAGCCCTGCATCAGGGGCTACCACGTGCTCCAAATTCACAAACAAAGATGCTGTGCACAGACGGGGCAGTTGAGGTAACCAGGCACTGTAGGCACAGTTGACTGAGTACTTGGTGTTAGGGCAGCCCTGCCCTGAATGCTTTAGGTAATGATTACAGCCACATAACCCTCTAAGGTAGGAACTAGTGCCACCTGATTTGATAGACGAGGGTACCGAGGGTCAGAGTGGTACTTTTGAGGAAGTTGCTGAGCCGGTCTGAACTGGAACGGGTCTGGTGCCAACACAGCACCTGTTACTGTCTCTGGCCTCACCCAGGATTGGGAAGTCCTGCACTCAGGGAGTTTACCCAACCCCACAGGGAGGTCCCTGCAGCCCCCCAGGGGTGCTATGCGGGCGTCAGCTCCTATCTGTTCAATGAGTCCCTTGTTACATTTCCAGGAATTTTGTGAGCAGATTGATATGTTGATAGTTTGGCATCAGCCACTTACCAAACCTACTACCACTAAGTGGATTCAGATTCAGTAGAAGTGCCCCAAAGAGGTTCCAAGGCTGCCATCTCTGTTTTCCTGCCAAGAAGCTGGTAGGTTCAAACCATAACCAAGTGCTTTAACCACTGCACCACAAGGGCTCCCTGAAATTAGCCACAGTGGAGTATTTTATACCATGGAACAAAAAGCCTCATCTTTCTCCCACAGAGCAACTGGTGGGCTTGAACCACTCACTGACCTTGTAGTTTGCAGTCCAGTGCTTATCCTCAGTGGTTCAAGGCCACCGGTTGCTGTGGGAGAAAGATGAGGCTTTTTGTTCCTACAGAGATTTACAGCTTCAGAAACCCTATACAGCAGGGATGGGGAACTTTTTGTCTGCAAAAATTTGTAACATTATTTGCAGGCCACACAAAATTATCAACTTAAAAATTAGCCACTATATTTGGTCAAACATTTAGTTAATCCACCCCTAAGCTCACCAGCTGCCCCTCATGACCCTATATAGGGTCACTATGGATCAGAACAGACTCAACGGCACTGAACAATAACAACATGGCGGCTGGAGTCCTGGTGTGGCACTGTGGGATAATGCGCTGGACCGAAAGGTCAGTTTGAGCCACAAGGTTGGTGGCTCAAACCCACCAGCTGCTCTTCAGAAACCCTATACAGGGTCGCTGTGGGTCTGAACAGACTTCATGGTATTTAACAACAACCACAATAATGTGATGGCTATAGGATAAGCCCTGGACGGCAAGGTCGGTTTGAACCGCAAGGTCAGATGTTCAAACTCACCAGCTGCTCCTTGGAAACCCTATACAGGGTCACTATGAGTTGGAACTGACTTGATGGGATGTAACAACAATGTGATGGCTAGAAATGCAGTTGCCTTGGGAAGGCCAGACCAAATGATTTCATGGGCCGACGTTTCCCATCGCTGCATACAGGGTCCCTATGAGTCAGAAAAGACTTAACAACCATCAATGTTTTCCCTGGTTGTCGTTAAACCTCTACTAGCATACAGCTCTTGCCACCTCTACCAGCACAAGTTCAGGTGACCTGTGAGTCCTTTCAAACTACTCTACAGACCCGGGCCAAGATGGACAAGAGAATGAGGAGGGGCAGGGAGGGGACACCTGGCTCACTGGGACCCCTAACATCTGTGGTTGGATGTGAATGCTTGAGCTAGCCCAGAAGCAAACCCTGGGAAGAGAACAAAGTTGGCAAAGAAGGAAACAGATTGACCAGAGGAGCCCAGTGCTGGACACTGCTCCCTACCCATCCCATCTGCCCTCTGTCCCCCATCCTCCTCAAGGCCCACTCCCTGCACACCTCACCCTCCTGCTATCTGGGGTGTCCCTGAGCTGAGAGAAGTCAGTACTGGACAACAGTGTCTCTCTCAGTACTTCCAGGCTCTTCACTACAAACAAATCCCACCATTTCTCTGTTGGGTGATTTGAGGAAGAGAAGCCGAGAAGGTGAACTAAGGTTCCATGACCCCAGTCTTCTGAGCAAGAAAGAGAGGCTATGGAGGCAAAGACACTGACTCAGGGACCCTCGTTTCAAACTGAAGTGGGATTCTTTCCTTCACGCAAGGATTGACTTCCTGGCTCACCCTCGAGGATCTTCTAAGCCAAATTCCTCCATGCCACCTTCCCCAGGAAGCCTTCCTAGACTGCCCAAGGCTGTGTCAGGAACCTCCTAATTGCAGGGGCCTGTGAGTGGTGATTTGTGTGGCTCCCAGGAGACTGGGAGCTCCCTGCAGGTAGGAACCAAGTGGGTTCTTCTCTGGTACATGAAGGCTCACATGTATTTATGGAATGAAAGAACAGTGAATGAAAGACTCACGCTGCTTCTCCCTTCACCAGACCCAAGAGGCAGTCTGTGAAATTACAGCAGCAGCACTATCATCATAAGAACCATCGTGTTCTAGACTCCAAAGGAAAAATCAGTAACAGCTTTCATAGAGAGCCAGATGGCAATACTTCCGGCTCTGCACCAAAATCTCTCCTTTTCAGTCACAACTGCTCAACTCCTTTCAGAACAAAAATGGCTACAGGTGATATGTAAATGTGGGCGTGGCTGTGTGCCCATC